TTCATTTTTAGAAGTGGTGCCCATAAACACGAAAATTTTAAGCATTTCAGGATTCCCTATGCTCAGTTGTACAGCAGCGACCATAAAGCCTCCGTTCGCATAAGCATTCTATAGGCAAAGCTCGAAGATGCACACAAAGATATACGCATATCTACAGTAAGCATCGTATAAAAAACGCATGCTGCATATGACCGCCCACTTTTTGAGTCCTTCCAGCTTTCCCGATATTTGTTTGAATTTTTACCATAAAATCATTTTAAAAAAAAGAGCAAGCGCCGCTGCTATAATGCGCAAATTCGAACTCAGCTGATAAAAAACGCAAAATTTTGAACAACAACGCAGTACTCAGTGTGAGAAGAGCTCAGCAAAAAGATGAACGAACGGATGACAACGAATGATTCAGTGGCAGATGATGACATTTGGAAATCGTCATCACAGGAACACTTCGTTCAATGGTTCAAACAATGTATTTTTCCTGGGAGGATAATCTTAATCAATTCCAGAATCGAAATAACCTAGAATCTTTTAGTGACCAGGAAAGGATTGCGCACGTGATAATAATCCTGCCAATCTGAACTCCCACTCTTCCTTTTCCAGTTTCTTTCCTTTCAATTTGTCTCTTTCCTTCCAGGGATTCAGGCCAATTCCCCTCCGTCTCCCAAAAATAACTGTATATCGACGTACACCAGGGGAATGCAGCATGCATGCTTGAGAATTACTGTAAACGTAGTGTTGGTGAATGCGTAAACACACGCAGAAAGCAGCCAAACTATGATAGTTCGATCCAAAGGTATCAAAATTCTAGGTTTGTCATCAATGCCTACTTTTTCTTTATTTTGGTGCTTAAAAACAGGAGAGAATAAAGTCGTACAGCCAACTTCGGAGCATCGATAGCGTGTTATAAACTAGCATACCAACGCCCTTGCTAGCAAAATGAATAAAAATGTGTCTCACACTGGATTTATAAAGTTATCGACTGTGAGTCCTGGATCACAGACTGAAAATTGTTCGAAAGTCAGTTTTGGGTTATCTGCTTTCCGCTGTTTGAGAAAATTAACTGTGCTACAGCCCCAGCTTCGTAGCTTTAGTTTCCAAATTGTGGCTGGGATTTTCGCAGGTATTGTAGGCAGCTAAAACAAAAGCAGGTGTGAGTTGCTGCTTGAGCGCCTCGCTACATGGTCGACTTGCTGAAACTGCTTTCCAAATGAATGGGTTAAATTAGGCGGACAAACAGATAACCAGGACGCAAACAAACCAGTCTACAAGGGTTCGTAATAATGCACGAGCATCGGTC